AAATCGATGGAACCACATTACAATGTTACCACAATTGTTTAATAGTGAAATCGTAAAATGCCAGGTCCAGGGGTCCGCTGGGGGGGCAGTACCGTTTAAAGTACAAAGATTTGGATTAAGGAAGTGTGTTCCAATATTACAATAATTTTCAAGATGCTTTTTCTGCATCTTTTTTTTCTTATTTTCTCAGTGGGGTTTTGTTACAATGGATGAAAAAAATAAGATCTTTAAACCTTGCAATATTTCAAGTAGAGGGAGGAAGCGAGGGGGGTCAACATTGTTTTTAAGCCACAAAACATAACCTTACACATAACCCACCAAGGGACTATAATTTCAATTTAATAATTAAAGGTGATGGTTCCACATAATCAATAGGCAAGTTTTCAAAAAAATGTAAAAAGTAACAACATTTTTGAGTGCATTTTCCACCTGAAATCTGTGCCCAAAAACCAAATTGAAATGAAAAAGATTTGCAAGGGTCCCATATTTGGAACACCCTTTTATTAACATAATGCTTTTATAATTTTACATAATTCCTCATGGTTTCCTCTACTTAGAGGAGTATTGTTGGGGACGGACGTAGGGAGCCAGAGAAACCACTCAATTATTCCCCGTATGACAGGGCAGAGGGCTCCCAAACAAGTCTTTTCATATTGCCTTACCTTGTTATGCCAACATCCTACCCTTGGTTGCAACTATGGGAAAATGTAAAAGAAGGGGAAAGTCGACGGGTGAAACTGTCAATTGTTGCGGTTTTCAATAGTCATACTATCCTGCTGTGTTGGACCTCGCCTAACTTATACTTTTATATTATCTTTTGAGGCTCTGAAAAACCAGGGGACCCTTGATTTTGGCAATGGTGTAACTTGGGGATTAACTTTAATTGTGGAAGACTGAACTTGTACCAATTGAAAAGCCCGCCAGTTCAAGAGTGAACAACAGTACTTGTTACAGCTCCAGTTAAGTAAAAGGAATTTTACTGATCAATAAAAAAAACTAGGACAGTCGCATTCTGGCAAAACACAGCCTAACATTCAATCAATTTGAACAAAATTACATCAAGAATAACTAGGCAAACTAATATGCTAACCCCGCTCTGGCGGCCCTAAAAACGTCTGTTCTCAGGATCCTAAGCTACAGTGCTGTCCGCAGCTAACTGAGTTAACACAGACTAACTTGTGCAAAAGCTAACTGCTACAGCTAACTGGCTAACATAAACTGCACTAAACAGGATTAGGTGCCCTAAACGTATAACATAGAAATAGTTAACTAAGCCTAACATCCAAACTGAGCTAAACAAGAAAACTGATCTCACAGCTAACCTGTATCTACGCTGCTGAGTAACAGCTAACTGATACTAACAGCTACCTGTACCTAAGCTGACGAGCTAAACAGCTAACTGAATAGTAGGCTACTGATGCAACAGCTAAATGATATAGTAGCTAATGAGCTAACGTCCTACTGTAACACAGCTGGACTGAGCAACAGCCTAGAATGATTTATAACAGCTAATGAAATAACAGCTAACTGTACCTACAGTGACTGGAGTTAACAGCTAACTGAGCTAACAGCTAAACTAGCGACAAGCGAAGTAACAGTTAGCGCTTAACTTTGCTATATCTGACAATAATATCGTATTTTAGCGACAACATTTCTTTCCATCAGCGACACAGTTTCTGAGGTCATTAGAGAGGTAGAAAAAAATCATCCAGTATCACTCAAGGGTCCATTCTTATTGTAGTCATTGCAGCATCAAATGACTTTGAAACATTGAAATAAAAGGTAAAATTACAAAATGTTGCTTTATTTATAACTATTTTTAACTAAATTAACCGAAGACGGAGATAAGCGCTTTGCCTAACACTAAAGATGTGTACATAATGTAAGTGAGGAAAGATATAACACTTGACTAAGACGTGTAACAACAACTTTATTCATGTAGCAGATGCTGATCCTGGGTCAGTGTTCAAGCTTAGACCAAACACACATTTATATTCTGGTCAATATAATGTGTGTTCGATGTAAATAACAATGCATCAGATGCCTTCATCTTAGGTTTGTTGCCTCATATTGCCTGCTGTATCATGAGGCCTTCTTACTGTCTCTCATGCCGTTTAGAAAATGTCCAAATGTACTAACATCTGTATTTTATTTGTAGGATGTGCCTGAAAAAAAACGGAAAATTATAAATATTTGCATTTTGTGTCTTGGAAAACCCCATATGAGAAAAATCTTTAAGAATCATATATATGTTGTAAAATACACTTTATTTTGTGCATAATGGCCACATATAGATGTCATACAGTACGGCATTTAGCAAATACGTATGCTTTGCATTATTATTCAGACTATGTATTCGCATAATGTCATAAGATACCAATATAATACTTACCCACCTTTTACAGAATATCTGCAATAAATTGTATGGAATTTGTGGCATATTCAAGACAAAGTGTGTGTAGACTGTGCATATCTATTATTCTTATTGATCAGTTTCATATGGGAACATTTTCTGTCAGCTGCTTGTGAAAGAAAGTTGTTTTATTATTTCATAATCCTAAAGTTTAGATATAAAGGTTTGTTCATTTCTGCAGAGCGACTTCCTCAGCACATGTTATTATTTAAAACGTTTTAAACCTTTCTCTATGAATGCATTATGGGTTTGAAGTGTTTGGGTTTTGTAGATTTACTCATGTCTTCCAACTGTTCAACTTATTGTAGCAGGAGGGCAGAGGAGTTTTATTTTTGTAAAGAAATGCATTATAGTATTTCCTGCCTGCCTTCTTTTTTTATTTTGCACTTTGCATTTGGTTATGTTAAGGAGGAAATAGTCAATACTGTGTTTTTGTTAAGTAGCATTACATGCAGTTGTGTAGCTGATGGTAAGGTATGGTAACAGGTTTATCTTATTTGGTACAGAAAAATGAAATATCTGTGGATAAAAGTGTAATTTAAATTCTTTTATTTGTCTTTTGTGGTACGGAAATGCACAGAGGTTCAACTTTTGTATCATTTTCAAAGAAATTGATCAATGTTTATCGTCATCATGGTTTGTTTGCTGTACTGAGTGCCTATTTTTAACCAAATGATTAAAATAAGTCCATGAAAAGTGAAGGAATGTAGAGTATAGCCTTTCCATGTAGTTATTTTACTTTATAGGTTTAATCGAGTCACACCCAATATAAAAATTGGATGTGATTTTCATTTTGACTATCAAAGCACAATATATTGTTACAAATCATTTGCCTACCATTTGTCTTATGCTACATGTTCGCTCAGATTTAAATGGTAAAGATGATCCTTCATTGGTTCTGCCTTGTAAATAAAACTGAATAAACTGTTCCTCCCAACATCTGTTTTGTTTTGTCGTGCTCAATCTGTACAAATCTTCTAGAAAAATAGAATATAAATATACATTTGATTAGCAGAGGCTTGTGTGTTGTGTGTGTGTAAAAACTTGTGAAGAGCACTCCTGTTTGAGTTGTTGACCAGGATATTTTTTTACTTGATCTTTTTAATAGCAATATTGTAAAGTTGAATGTGTTTTGGGTCGTTACTGTAAAAAACACATCTGAATGATGTTACTATTACAGTACAACCCATCTAATATAACAATTTCCAACACATCATACAGAAATATGTTAATGCCTCCAATGCAGCATATCTCCTGCACAGAACAAAATTAAGAAACCTGTTATCTTAATCTCGCTTTGCAAAAATCATTTAATAGTTCTGATAATTCAAAAAAATGCGGTCCCCTTTGTCAGTATGTAAAGCTTCAGCGGGATGCCCTTCATGTCCATCTTGTCCTGGATTAAAGGGGGTGTCCTCCTTTGATGCAACTATTATAATCACATGAGTCACCTTTCACACACTTCTCTATTACAAATTACACTGACACAGAGGGACCCTGGCTGTTGACCCCTGACCCCAGATGGCTGTGACAGGCTTCACATTGCACGTATACAAACACACAAATAGAAATGAAAGTCACGAGCACTGTCAGCGGACAGAGAGGCACTTTACAGAAGGTGATAAACCTTGAGGGACGTGAGGTTTAAAATGCACAGATAGGGAATGACTAACATATTAATTATAGAATATTATACATGTTGGTTACGTGAATGCATCAATAATATTAGTACAGTGATATTGATACTTGTCCCCTGATATAAGTCCCACCTGATGAATATAGATGTGAATTTGCTGCATGCTTTTCCTATGTCATTAAATTAATATGTTCTTAATTCATCGCACTATTTATATAGATGAATGATTTTGAAATGTTTCTTTTGTAAAATCACAAACCCTAATCCTATTAGCATTAAATCATACTTAAAGTAATGAAAGTAATAGTAGGCTTAATCATTCATCAGAAAGGCCCACGTCAGAATAATATAAACAATAATATTAGATTATAACCATTATAATATACACCTTTATGCTGGCCTAGCTGAATTTAATTAGTTTACTTTATATACTGCTGGGTTGTTCAACCTATAATAATACATCAGCACGTTTTATTTATGTTTTTGTATCATTATTGTCTGTTTATTGTAGTTGGAGTAAAAAGTACAATGTTTATCTATGAGATGTGGTGGAGTAGAGGTAGAAAATAGCAGAAAATCTAAAGTACATTATAAAAGAACAGTACTTCAGTAAATGTACTTAATAACTGTCCACCATTGTGCATTTAACACCATCAATGGTAGTTTCCACAGTACGTGAGTTATGCTGTATCAAGTGGATTAAAGGGATCAACCAATAGTACGATCTGCTGATAGAGTGATGGAGAGGAGCAGGTGCTGGGAAATATGTTAATATGGGAAAGTTCAAGGGCTGTGATTGGCTGGTGGCAGGAGATATGCGAGCTCTGATTGGCTGCCGTGAAGGGGGCACGTAACACGACGTACGATCACGACTGATCACGAGTACCCCCCATGCCTGCGAGAATGATGACGTTTTACGCAAGCTGGATATAAATTGCAGTACCTCGCGCTCAGTCAGTTAATGGAGCAGTAGAGAGAAGCGATTTTCAGAGCTTTAAAAACTTACATTTACGCCTTTTTAAGCGTTTAATTTGTTAGGTTATATCCTTAACTTTAGTTTGAAAGTACACTTCCGTGTTTTTTCAGCTGACGTTGAGCAGGACTTTGGGAAAGACAAGAAAAAATGAAATACATTATAGGAATTGGCGGGTAAGTGTTTATATTTTTAACTAACAGCTGTTTTTTGCTTACATTTAGCTAGAAAATGTTATAAATATTTGTATTGCAACCTAATGCTCTGACAGTTGAGTGGAGTAGTTAATATCAACCTGTTGACTAATATTATCTTGTGAAATGTGAGGTTCATGCAGATATTTTGAATTAGAAGTTTAAATATATAGTTGTTTATTTTCATTAAATGGGGATTTATATTCGCTTCTGGTTGATAAAGATTGTACATCATTATTTGACACATGTTTTATCAGCTGCCCGCCAGAAAGAGGTGCCGTTAAACCGGTTTAAAGCATGGGTGTGTAAAGAGAACTGGATGCACCGTCAATTCCTATGCGAGTTACTTTGAGGTGATTGAAGCTCAAAATAGAGCGACTATAGATCCATAGTACCCGTATGTGGGCCCATTGAGCATGCGCAGTTGAGTTTTCCTTTAAGCCCAGCCTCCAACCTTCCGCTCTCTTCTCAGTTAAATGAATAGAGAAGAAAAAATAACTGGTTACAGTTTTTAGTACATTTTACAACTTTCAGACCCTAATGATTTAATTAAGGGCTACAGAAGTGTTAGTACAGGGTAGTTTATCAAGCTGATTTATAGACGTTTCTTTTCCACAATGTAAGCCAGCCAAAATGACGTCACGGGAGTTGTAGTACCACCGTTTATCCACTACGGTCATTCACAAAAAATCGGCTTCAGCGGGAGTCCCTGGTTTGTTGGTTTGTTGTCATACATCGAGCGGGACATTTGAAAATTCACCGGCAGACCATAAACTGAAGCTAGAGACAGGCGAAAAGTGGAGGGAAATGTAACTTGACTACTGCCCTGCCTAAACTAACAACAGTTTAATGTTATGTTTATCATTTATTTAAACCCTTTTACATAAGGACTTGACACTATTTCATTGCATGTTATATTATGAAAACATACCTTGTGCTTTTATTCAACATGAATTGTTTATAAAAGCAGGGCAACTTTTAATTACACATGCATCTTTTAATACATTAAACTTTGTTTTTAAGCAAATGTGGCTTCTTTTCCTGTTTACAGATAAACTATTTAATGTATTTACTTACTTAAAATGTAAACAAAGTGTGCCATGTGGCTCTATAGGTGCAAACATTGCATGGTTGCTTTTAAGTATTTTGGTGTTTAAATCATAACTGTATCTTTCTGGCAAAAAATTAGTTAATATTTTCTATTTTAAATTACTTTTTGCCTTTTTTGTTTACAGAGTCAGTCGAAAATTGGAGGTAGATTTGACATAACTATTGCCCGGATCAAAAACTAATAATTATAATTTAAGGAAATGGGGCTTCTTGTCCTGTTTACAAATAAACTATTTATTTTATTTACCTGCTTATAAATGTAAACAAAGGGTGCCATGTAGGAAAAGTAGTTTAGCTTTTAAACCATTACTGTAACTTTCTGTTCATCATATTATAAATAATTTGTGGTTTTAAATTGTTATTGCTTTTTTTGTTTACAGGGTCACTAATGGTGGGAAAACCACCCTGACCAACAAGTTGATCAAGACGTTGCCCAACTGCTGTGTTGTGCACCAAGACGACTTTTTCAAGGTGAGTTTAAGCAAGAGGATAGTTTAGAGTTTTATTTGATGTTATTGTCGGCCTAGTTTTCCCTTTCATTAACTCTGCATGAGCATTGCTTTTATGTAAAGTTAAGGGTGCCGCCCAGCGACCTCTCCCACCCCCCACTCTGTCCCCCTCAGTAGAGATATGTTAATGCCTTTCAGGATAGCTTCTTTACTGCTTCAGTCACGATTACCTCTCTTGTGTCTTTTACATTTCTTCAGATTCCTCGAGTAGCTTTACAACAAGTCTTAACTTTTCTAACATGCATCCATATCTCCTCAATCAACCTTTTTGTTATATCTTTTTTAGCATTTCTCTCTTCCCCGATTTAGTTTAAGCTGTGTTCTTTTGGTAGATAGCTTGTTTATTTAGTGCATGCCCTTTGCTTGTGTTTCTATGTGTGCACTTGTTTAGCCTTATTACTCTTAGCATTGTTCTTATTGCTCGAGCATGTGAGTGGGATCTGAAGTGTTCAGAGCTGTGAGGTTGCAGCAATGTTTTATTGGTGACTGTTATTTCAGAAACCAGATCAGATAGAAGTCGGGGACGACGGCTTTAGACAATGGGATGGTAAGACTTCACCAAAGACTGCCTGAGTCACTTTCATGTCATATAAACCCTCCAACATTACATACATTATTAAACCCATTAGCACAACACCATTAAGCTGACAACACCCCCTAGTATCTTGGAGCAAAATACAAAACACATTTACATATTTTCAAATCTTTGACTGTCTTATTAACCAGCTATCTTTTCCATCGTCTGCCTTTTTCTATTGATCTCTCTCCACAGTGATCACAGCCATGGATATGGAGTCCATGACCAACACAATGAAAGCCTGGATTGAGAACCCGGTGAAGTTTGCTCGTTCTCACGGCGTCCCGCTGTCTTCTGCACCCGAGGAGTCCAACCCGGACGAGCAGACACACATCCTGATCGTGGAGGGCTTCCTGCTCTACAACTACCCGTGAGTCCATTTTATTCACTTGTTTCACTTGCTGGGTATATGGCCTTTTAGCAGTACAATGTCTTAACTGGGGAATGGTTGAGACTCTGGAGGTAGAGCAGTTTGCTTGTGGAAGTTTCCTTTAGCAAGACACACTTTATTACCCAAATTGCCCCTGTTTAGCTCCGACATCATTGGTGTGAAAGAGGGTGAAACTACCAAGTGTTTTATCTGGTTAGTTAGAAAAGTGCAATATAAATACAGTCCATTTAACATAACATTATTTTGTGTTGCATGAACTTGCATCACACTGAACTGCTGTCATGAGATGTCGATTTATAAGTAAAGAGGTAAACTATTCCAAATTAGGATAAATGAATGAATTAGTCTATGCAGGGAAACTCAATGGTCATAGCAGACAGACACAAAATACAGTGTCAACCTTGAAAGAATATTGCTATAGGCTTATTTTGTTTGTTGTAAATAAGGCGTAAGATGAAGGTACAAATTGTTGAAGATGAATAACTTCTAGGTTCAGTCGAAAAACACCATTATGTCAAAACGTATTGATGTTATCAAGTGTTCTTTAAGACGTGATGTGCAGAGGAAACAAAATGGAAGTCTCAAGTTCTATAAATGATCAAAGGCAGTCTATTTACATAATTTACAAAATGTCTCTAAATTAACCATCAGTTTTAAGTGAAAGGGAACATTATGTCACTTTTTTTAAATCCTGGGGAATTCATGACTGAGACGAGACGTGCTGTGAAGAGTTACTGAAGCTTCTCATGAACTCATGTGCCGAGAGAGATAAGGTGCTCAGCTGCTGATGGGGAGGAGCTACTCTGTGATGAAGACTCATGTTGAGCTGCGGAGTTACAGATAACAAGTGATCAGCAGCGCCCTCAAACCAAAATGCAGATTTTCCCCGTAACATTTAAAAGTGATGCCAGAAAACAATATTTCTGTTCGTCAAAAGCTGTATAATGTACGAACATCGTGTCAAATAGACCGTCAGCTGGCAGAGACAGCTTTGTTTTTACGGAGCTCCGACGTCACGTTGTTGTTTACGTCTGTGGCGCCATCTTGTATACGGCCGCCATGTTGAGATATCTTATGAACAAGATGAGCGCCACAGTATTGCCCTCATACTATATCTTTCTGGAAAACCCCCTGTTATGCCTTTTTTCCTCTAGTTAGTTAATAACATTTAGTACTTTTTTGTTTTTACTGAAAGTACTTGTTCCTCTCTCCTCTAGCCCCCTGCTGGACGTTTTTGACAAGAGCTTCTACATCACGATTCCTTACGAGGAGTGCAAGAGAAGGAGAAGGTGAGCACACACAGTTTAGACTGCTAATGATATAAATACATTTAATGTATATAGTGCTTTAATAAGTATACAAAGAAACTGTGCAAAAAAACCTGCATACGGAAATGAAAAGACACAAGATGCTAGGGCTACATGTTTTGGAAAAAATAATATTTGCAATTACTTTGAGTGATATTGAGATAGGATTTGTGATGTTACACATATAAACATTCACATTATCAATTTAAAATGATCATGGTTTTTAAGAGGATCTGTACCAAAAAAGGATTGTTTTATTAACTATATAGTTAAGAATGAGACTTCTCTGCAGCATCACAACACATCCATTCAGATAATCTCACATATTTTACATTTACCAAATATTCCTCTGGATATTGTAGTAATGCATATTGCCATTTATAAAAAGCTTATTAATTGAGCAGCCCTGCCAGATTTCAATGAATGAATTGACCTCGGCTGTTTGTATTGCCTGTTAATCCTTTCATCGTGAATGCATATCTCCTAACATTGTGTTTATTATTTCAGTACGAGGCAGTACACGGTCCCCGACCCCCCCGGCCTGTTCGACGGGCACGTGTGGCCGATGTACCTGAAGCACAGGAGAGAGATGGAGAGCAGCGGCCTGCATATTGGTACGTTACAGCCCCTGTCTTACTTTATAATAATATATATATTTCAGAAACCTTAAGGAGATCCTGTGTAATGTGTTCTTAGATTCCCACTTTATGTTGTAGTTGTATTTAATGTTGAAGTGCAATCTTTTAAGCATATCATAATATTTGTCTGTGTTACAGGGTACTTTTTTTTTAATACATTTTTTGATAATTGTGAGGGAAATCCTGTGTAACGTGCACCTTTTTTAACGCATTATTCATGTTGTGTGTGTTGCAGAGTGCCTGGATGGTTTGAGCTCTAAAGAGGAGATCTACACCCAGGTGTACGAGAGCATTCAGAACAACCTGCTCAATCGTTTATAGGTAAGGACATTTTAAAGTCTTTCATCATTTCTGAAAATCATATTAAAAAGTTTCTGTGTATATCATAGTTTGAAAGAAATATGTGATATTTAATGGCTGACATTCAGGCTTTGTTGTACACCTAAAAGCCAGTAATTTAATTTAAAATGTAACATTGTTTTTCCTGTGTTTCCCACAGCAGGAGGACTCCTCTCCATCCCTGTACAGAACCTGTAAATAGTCCCGAGGATACTTTTTTTATGAACTTTTTTTCTAATTTTATTCTTTGTTCGTGAATGTAACAAAGCAATCTTAATTTATCATTGTCTTTTTTTATTTTTTGTTGAGTTGTGTTTGAACCCCAGCTTTACCGTTATGTTTTGTTAAACCACTGACTTTACTGGACCCTTCGTCACATCGTCCTGCAAATAAACGCTTCAGTTGCTGTGGAAAAACCGTACATCCAGGCCTGTGTGTCACGTCTCTTCACAAGATTAAATGTTGTATATTAATATTTACTGTTAGATTTATGGAATTTAAAAGGGGAAAAACTACCCTTTTTTTATATTGTTATTATTTTTATTAGTTACTCAGCGGGTTAAAATAATTAATACAAAAATATAAATTCAATGAAATATGGTGTACTTTCATGAATTAAGATACCTGGCAGTATATCATTACAGCTATCTCAAACTTTAACCTGATTTAAAATTAAAATGATGAACACATTAATGGCTAATTATAAGATATGATTAATAATATTCTGTACACTAAGTACTTTCAGTTAAGGAACTCGAAGTATATTTTAATGCTAACACCTTTACTTAAAGGCAGGGTTCGTACGGGTGCTGGAAATGCTTGAAATTTCATGTGGTGTTTTCAAGGTTTGAAAAGTGCTTGGATTTTGGATAAAGTGCTTGAAATTGCACTTGTTACTTTTATAATAAATTGCTGTCTGACTGAATAGTTCGCTGAGTAAATTATATTATTTTTTAAAAATGAATTAATTTCTATACACAATACTCCCGTGATTGGTGGGAAACCAAACTGATACTTTAAATTTTTTATTTAACCAGATAAAAGCATTGAGATAAAATCTCATTTTCAATGCTGACCATATAAGCTTACCTAAAATGGCTTTATACATGAATAAAAACCAATGCTGCATCCTACGCATAGTAAGTGAGGACCATCAAGTTAGGCTATACAGTTTGCAATGATGAGTCCTATAGGGTGCATTCGATATATTAGTATATAACCAGGGTGTCCTCGGGGTCTTAAAAAGTATTACAAGTTGATAAATCAATTTAGCGAAAATTAAGGCTATTAAAAAGTACTAAAAAGTACTAAACGGTATTTTCCAAGGTATTAAGAAGGTTCACAGCAACGACAACATGAAACACCCTTTCATTTACTGAAACGACATGTCGGGAAACCCCCCAAGGCGGCCCCATGCATAGCGCGCCGTAAAATGCTGCTTATTATTTTAAGTTTCGTTGCCTTGCTCCGCTCTGTGTGGGGGGGGAACTAAACGACTACGGTAACGTGTCCCAAGGTGGGTAGACCGGCATACGCAACGCTCTGGGGGTCCAACGGCTCCGTGTGTGCCCTATATGATCATTTTCTGATAACGATGAAATAGCCCGCCTCCCTCTCCCCACGTCTCCTGCTGCTGCTGGGCTGTCAGAAGAGGGGGAGGAAAAGAGAGGCAGTCACCGTTTATTAAATTATTATATTATTATACAGAGAACAGAGTCGTTATCAATTTGTTTTAAAGCTCAATAAATAGCAAAGAAGACCTCTGGCCGGCACTTTTTTAATTTTGTACGGAAGATTTAAACTTTAACGGACATGTTGACCGGCGGAATATTTTTTTTACGGAAACTGCCGCACGGTCCCCTCGTTCCTTGGAAGAGGCGGAGAGGTGGGTGTTTTTCATCTGCTGGTGGACTACCTGAGAGATACAGCAGGAGAACACGCCGTCCACCGCGGAGAATAAACAGAAGGGCAACCATGGCAACCATGCTCCGGGGTCTTCTTCGCTGCTTTTGGTGTATTTCGGGCGGCAGCAGCGCCACTTACAGGCCTGACATATGTACTACATCGTTTCCAGCATTTCCAGCGGTCTAGTGTGAACGGACACGTTAATGAATCGAATGCGTGTGAACGGAAGCCTTTTTTGCGTTTTACCGTGTGGGGCCGGGGTCTAAGCCAAACTATATCCGGTCACAGAGATCTGCTATTTTAAAGTAAAGTCAACACATATAGACCCTAAATAGTCTATATTAAGAACGAGAAAAGTCTTAACATATATATCCTTTTTTGTAAACATATGACAAATGTGTGAGGGTGATGACGTCAGAGCATCGTCTTATGTGCCAGGGTTTAGCCCCGGACAGCCCCAGCCCAATTTAACCCCTGGGTATTTGTGAGGGAGCTCCTATATAGCATTACCCCGCTGAAGCTCACCAAAGTTTAACATATTTCATAGTTCAAAGTTTTGTCAATTGTTTTGTTTATTGGTCAAATACTGGTTTCTAATGTTTTCTGAGGAGTTTTACTGGAATGAAAGAGCACAGAGTCTACAGAAGCAAAAAAGCAGCATACTGCATTAAACCTGACCTTCACAGAGAGGTTGAAGTTCATGTNTTTTTTTTTTAAATTGCATTACAGAAAATAAAGAACTTTATCACAATATTCTAATTTTCTGAGACAGTCCTGTATAAGAGAGAGACGAGCGGAGGAATTAGTCTCAGCTCATGTTCGATCACATTTAAAAGAAGATTTGGCTTTTTATCCCATTTGGAAAGATGTGACTCAAATAGCACATGTTGGTGTCGAGGGATTGACTCAGGACTTTGAAATTGAATCTGCACCCTGAAATGTATTTCGTTTTAATAATATATTTGACTTAGAAGTGCATCCTTTATTTAATACCTTTAGAGGTGTTTTACAAACCTTGAAGGAATGCTGATTCTGTATTACATAAGAACACTTTTCGATTGTACTGGAAAGTGAATACATCAGACGCATCGGATGAATGAAAATGACCCTGCAAGCAACAATGAAAGTCAAGCATTAACACCTGAGTTTGTTCTTTTTTATCTGCCTGGAGATTATGTTAATGATTAACATGCAGGTGTTAACATTTACACACAGAGTTATGACGTCATGCCAATATATTAATGATTAAACCGGAGCGTTGTTTGCCAATTTTCCATTATGCCTTGAAGTAAACCTGATACAACCTACTATAAACTAGCTTTTATTGGTATTCTAAACCAACTTCCTGGAGTCTAACTGCCATGGGTCATGTCAAATATGTGTGAAAGCATGAATAATGTCCTTGTATTTAGAACATGATTCATGCTTTCACATGTATTTGACTCCAAGTATTCTCAATATTTACAAATAGTAACAACGAGTTTGACAGCGAGACTCGAAGGGCAGAGTCTTGACCTCTTGACAAAATACCTCACATGAAGGCTACAACTCGTGTTAAAGCCAAACACGGTAGGTTAGAAAGTAACCAACTATTATTTTGATCTGCTATCTCATTAAATCGCTTAAGTGTTTTGTGATTAAATGTCAGAAAATAGTGTAAACAAACAGCCAGCAGGTTCCCAAATTCCAAGTTAGGACATAGGTCTAATCCTATTACTTGTTTCAGTCAACATAGTGTTAGTTCATAGTGGACTTAAAATGCAGAACTGGATGTCGGACTACAAAAAGTAATCGCTGGAATAAAAAAAACTGCTACAAGTAAATGTCCAACATTCAAATTGTAATTTACAGACTTTGTTTTGGGATAAATGTGAGGGAGTAAAAAGTGCAATATTTTTAGAGACAAATAATAAAGCAGCATTAAGGAAAAGTGATCAACTATAGTAGGCTACAAGTAGCCCAATCCAATGAGTACTTATCTCTATAAATTAAAATCTGAACTATGTAAAGCATTTTGAATCACAATTTGTTTTCCTTAAGACTTCTTAACATGACGTAAGATAGGAAGTTTCTGCTCAGGCTGCTCTATTATCTCACCTTCCCTCCACATACCTGTCATTGCTGCGCAAACCATTCAGAGTTACCATGACTCCTTTACAGAGGGTGTGTCTGCAGAAAAGGGTGTGTCATATAAGTGTACAAGCACCAAAACCTCCAGCTTAAAAGTTACTTGAATAATTACAGCGAAAATACAATATATGAGGGGGGAAACATATCATTGTCTCTATAAGAAAATAAAAGTGTGGATAATTAATGAACATCTACTCCAGACAATCAAGAAAGACAATGCCTATTGGAAATAATGGAAAGGATAAAAGGTGTAGTTACCACAAAGGCCACTAGGAACATTGACAAGCTCGGCATGTGGCAACAGTCGCCAATCTATGGTGTTATGGCAAATGTGGTTCATTATTGCGATTTAAACAATGAGCTCTGACCCAGGCCACGCACTGTAGAGGTGAACAAGTGTTCTTTTTAAATAAGTAAACAAAGAGCACAAGTGAAGAAAACAAGTCAAACAAAACAGATGTCTTGGAGAACAGAGATGCCTAAAAAAGCTGCTATAGTAGCCTGCGCTTACAGGCCTTTTAAAAAGTGCCCTATGTAAATATTACAAAAAGGGTAAAGGTGTTCATTTAAAGTACTTCTTTTGGTTGTAAAAATGAAAAATAAAGCCATTTAGAGAGTCCTTTTTTCTCCTAACACGCGAAAGGCAGCACAATGTCTAGTCAAACCACATCTGAGTGGACAAAGACCCAGCGTCAAATCTAGAAAGTGAGTCTAGCAAACTACCGTTTTTTGTGTCCCAACTTTTACGAGTGTTTGGGGTTTTAATTTGCATGACAGAAAAAACTAAACAGATATTTTAACAGCGCTTTTGTAGTCAAAGTAGCCCGTCCAACTTACACAGTTCATCTGCGGTTACAGGCTTACCTTAGTGCTCACTCCAGAGAGAATGGGCAAACGGTCACTCCGCCGAAATGAAGACAGAAGAAGAAGTAACTGAAACCGCGTAAAAACGACAAAAATAACGTTTAAATCCACATATCCTTTGGGTTTTTACTATGTATTTTTTCTTTTAAAACATGGACTGAGTACTGTGTAACTGCTCGACCTATCCTCGTTTGTTTTTCTGTCGCAGCCTGCCTCGGTGGTGCCTCTCCACCAGAAATCACTGCTTACAAGCTGGTAAGGACATGCAATCCACTTCCGGTCTCAAGTTTCAAAATATAAGCAGCACTTAGATGGCAAACAGAACATTTTATTAATAAGTATAAATGCCATGGTTTATAAAACAGTCCTGACCTCAAAATGCTACGTGAGTCAAGCAGAAGAACTTGAAGTATTAAAAGTAGTCATTAGGCAGTCCTATATCAGTAATATCGAGTTTTATTTTGATATTATTCTGTATTTGATCTAGATAGTATTGCATAATACACACACAACACAACATTTACTCAAG